AGACAGACAGACAGACAGACTGACAGACAGACAGACGGACAGACGGACAGACAGACAGACAGACAGACTGACAGAAAGACAGACAGACAGGCAGGTAGACAGACAGACAGACAGACAGACAGACAGGCAGGTAGACAGACAGACAGAAAAAAGATCATCACCTAATTCATTAAATATTTTAAATAATTGAAAAATATAGCAGTTTTGTCCAATTACTGCTTAGGCTGGACTACTGACGAGTTAAACAATCCGAATCGCTTCCTTTTTAGTGCTCCTACTAAACTATTCATAGCCAAGAAACGCACTCTATCATTCCCCAGTAATATTAAGAGTGAACGTGCTGAAAGTTAGTGAGTAGAAGCCTCCTTAGGTAATGTTGAAATTCTACCAAAGAAAAACTTTTTTTCTCTAATGGGGGAACTCAGTCATACGTATTCAATTGGTAAATATGGGGAATCAAGGATTCGACAGAATACTTTTTGATGAGAGTAAAACAATCAATTCGAACCCCGAGAAAGCTTGTATTTTTTAAAATTTCAGACTATTGAGTTTTTTTTTAAGGAAGCGATTGCCAGTCTGCCATTGATATTGTTAGTGAGTGCCACATTGTCTACCCAAATATCAAGGAAGCTCTCTGGAAAAGTAGGAAACCAGGTAATAAGAAAAAAAATAAGCTATTTTCACATAATGTTCTGATGTACGCAATGATCGTAGACAAAATTGGAAACTGATAACCGAATAGCAATTTTTAAATCACTCTTTTTGTTTCTGGTCTCAAGCGCACATATCCAACAGGCCGGAGCTGGATGACTGTTCCAACGCTAAGCAGTTTGCACTGCTGGACATAGATATCTGCTCAAAATAAAGTGATTTCAGATTCAAAAAGCATTCGTGGAAGAATACGAGTAAAAACTCATCCGGGAAAAGCATTTAACTGTGTTTGCCGGTTCCAGTTAGTCAACAAGCGTTAGGATAGGCACAGTTTGTTCAATTTTTTCTTTTATGGCCGAAATTGAAGTGATCGTTGACCATGAATTCCTGAATTCAGCTGCAATTTTTTTCAATGTATCATGAGATAAAACGTCAAAGATATTTACCGTCAGGTCGTGTCATATCGTACTTTTATTTGTGGCTTTTTTTTAATCGTTACTTAATTTCCGTTGTTACGGAGAAGCGTTCTCTTTCAGCCAAACACAACTAAATCCAACTCAGCATAGCTTGAGTGGATTACATTACATAAAAGGTTATTTGGCATATGAACTGATGTCCGGAATTTAGTGAACCAACCAGAGCACTGAAAATGTAATATTCGAAGGCGGAATTTAATGATATGTATTAGCTATCTTCTGAAGCTTCCCATCTTGTTTCAGTGGTCGTTCATTGTGGCTGCTCTGACTGTAATTGGATCGTGCTTGTGGTTTATGCGTATTACCCAGTCAACGAGGGTGTTCACTTACCCTGCCGTTATTCTACTGGGGTTTGGGTCCTCCGCCATGTTTGTTAATGCGCTTAGCTTTGCAACCGAACTTATTGGAGAAAACAAAGTAAGTTGCAGAACACTTTATTAAGTCTATTCTTCAAATTGTTACTGAACTTTTTACTATATAAATCCAATTGAATTCTATTTCTAAGATCAGTTAGACCGCGCTATAAATAGTAAATGTAACAGGGATTTTTTTACCCTTCTTTTTGTTTAAAACAAATTCTTTTTCTTGTATGATTTTTCCTGCAGGCCAGCTCTGGTTTGGTATTCTCTGTCGTAGGTATTATCTCTAACCTGACGTCAGGAACTCTGTATCTCGTCATACAAGTTCTATTTCCTAAAGGAAGGTAAATTTGGACTTCTTGCTGTGATATAAGAACTATTTTTACTACTGCAAGACATAAAATGACTTTTTAACAAAATAGGCTTAAGGCTTCCCAGCCTCTTTCGTTTTCTTCTTTGTCCTTTGTATTACTTAAGTTTATTTCTTCCATTTTCTTTCGCATCTTTTTTTTGTTTGGCGCTATACATGTTCTTTTCTTTATTCTTTGCTCTTCTTGTTATTCAGCGCTGTTGTTATTGGTCTTTTCTTCTCCTCTCCTCATTTGAATCCTTCGTCCTTACCAGGCTCCTGGCTGAATCCCGTCCAACTAAATATTCTACCAGCATTTCATGGCGTATAAAATGCGTTCCAAGAGCTTTGAATTTAATGGAATATTCTCGCGAAACAAAGAAAGTGACTCAAGATAAGTGTAGAGTAAACGAAGGGGGAATTTTCATCACAAAAAGTAATTTTGCTCAAGGGCTATGTAAAAGACTGAGAATTACGAAAGCAAAATAAATGTTGTTTAAAAAGAGATAAAATGATCGCTTTTTTTCCCTAGTGAGTCTGCCGATTGTCAAGAGTGTGGGAGTTACGTACAAAACGTGTTCTCATTCGTGCCCAGCTCACTGGCTGCTTTTAGCTTGCTGCTTGTTATAATTTTTCAAGTTTACAAGACAGTCTGCGGGAAAAAAGGTGAGATGCAGTTTGTTAGCTGACTTAAAGCCGGGTCTGTTTGGGTAGATATATATAGATAAACTCCACGGAATTATGTAATAAAGGCTCAATTCCTAAAGAGAAGGAAGTAGAATATTACAAATAAAATGTTGAAATTTCCAAATATAGTACACACTTCATCAACAAATATTGCAGTCTTGTGATGCACCGTCAACATAGTTAGAGTGTCAGCAACTGAGAAGCAGAGCAAGTCCAGACTTTCCTCCTTTCCCCCTACATTTTGGGAATCTGTTTCCAAATCAATTTTCTTTTCTTTTTTCAAAAGTGAATATAAACAGCTTATTTCGAAGAATTCAATTGCGATACGCCCTCCTTTCCTCTTAATAGTAAAGTCATGGCTAAAGCTCAAAAGAGGGGTTTCTAAAATCCAAGAGACCCCCACTCCCCTTCCCACCTAATCATGCCTCTGCATACATCGTAACAACCAACAGATTTGGGCTACACTCTAGAATATTTCATCTTTAAGATGAGATGATGGTAAAACCTTCAGAGAAGGAATTACAGAAAAGCTCGAGGCATAGCCAGAATTTTTTATTTAAATGTCATTGATAATTAAAGATTTTTCCGTTTCTTATCGCTTACTCTACACTTTACAGGAACCGAGAAGGAGACTGAACCAGTCTCAGGCTATACAACCCACTTGTGATGTACTGTCGTGAGGAAATAATACGTCGCGCTACTGGCTGGCTGGAGCTGGTGGCATTTACCGTAATATCGTTCATATTAGCTATAACAATGACAGTGACTTCAAGCTTGTGTTACAGTTCTCGTTTATTGCTTCACCAATGAAATTGGCGTTTGTGAATGGTGTGTCAGTATCGTGGACTGATTATTTTGTGTTTATACTGTTTAACCGCCTCCCGGTTAGCTCAATGGATAGAGCGCTGGACTGTTGTGCGGGAGGTCGAGGGTTCGAGCCCCGGCCGGACCAACACTCAGGGTCTTAAAATAATTGAGAAGAATTTTCTGCCTCTCTGTAACATCAAGAAATGGTTACATATTCTAGTCGTCTCTGATAGGGACGAATAACTGGAGGTCCCGTCTCCTGCAGGGTTGGGCTAGCAGACGTTAATTTCCCACACACGAGATTACTGTGTGATGGATGTCCTCCCCATGGGATGGGTTGGGTGGGTTTATTGGGCCCGCACTAATTGGCGCAAGCTGTTGCGGTGTCCCTGCCAGTTGGCGAAGCTATTAAAATTAAAATTAAAATTAAATCATTGAAAATTTTGACTCGTGTAAAAAGTTTATGCTGCTTTTTTATACCTATACTTTCCGTTGTTTTAAACATTTTTTGTAAGGCATTTTTTTCAGCAATATTGTACCCAATAAAGTGTTTCAATGTCATGTTTGATTCTCAAATTATTTCGTTAAGAGCAGATGAAATTATCGTTTCTGTGGAAGAACGATTTCTTCCTGCCCTGAACACGTTCTGAAAGATCAGACAAAAACATTGCAGCCAAGAAAATGCGTTCTCGAACAATTAAGATCTTGAGGTTTAAGATATTGTATATTTTCTAAAGTAAGATTAACAGTGATAGAACAATTTCTTAGAGAGAAATATGAGGCTTCCCGGTCAATACTTGCTGTAATATTACGAGTAGAAAAATCTTCATAGAAAGGTGAGAATTGTTCCTAAAAAAGGAGAACATTTTCAAAGCAAAGGAGAACACACTTTGTGTCTTCGGCAGCTCCAAGGGTGGTTTACGATGAAGTTTGCACAGGTTTACGAAATCCACTTTTCATTTGGAAAGTCTTGTTTTCGTGGCTTAAATCGAATGCGATATCAATATTGCCTTGATTATTTATAAGACCTCTTTTGTAATATATATCTGTGTTCTGCACATCATGATGAAAATTTTCGTCGCTGTTTAACCTACAAGGGCAATGAAATGTTCAGCCTTTGTTGAAGTAAAACGATTTTCGGATTACTTCTAATAAAAAATGTAGGGTCAAACTTGATCCCTCCTCACGACCTGTTTGACGCAATTCAGCTTTGAACAATTCATGATCACCACCACGAGAGGATAAATATCTTCTCTGGTCCCTATGCAATGACAGAATTTTAACATTTTACCTTCCACCAGAGAACTTTCTCAAGCCGGATCATAAGCCTACTCGTAAGTATTGTTGGGGGGTTTTTGCCACTCGCTTGGACGACTTAACGAAAGGTACCAGGACTCTGTAATTTTCTTCTTTATTCTCTACTCTTCTTTCGTTGCTACTACCTTCTACTACCACAGCTATTCCTCTTCTTTTCGGGCCCGAGCCCGCAGTGGGAGGATCTCACGCTCCCCAGTGAGACTGGACTTATGATGGGACCACCCTACTGAGGACATTTTTTGTTGCGTTACTATTGTGGTATATAAAAAACATGAGCTTTTCGCTTGAAGTTATTTTAGTAGTCTGAACAAAATATTTTAGTATTCGGAACAAAACATTTTAGAAGTCTGAACAGAACATTATGCTCCTTCGAAGCCGGATTCGAGAAACCTTTGGGGAAGCAAAGCACTGAGGAGAAAAGTAAACATCGCGATAAACGATTACAGGATTGAATATGGCAGACAACTGTGCATCGTCAGCGGAGGAAATTGTGAGGGAAATGTCTCTTTCCTTACAGT